CTCTCAGTGACGATAATCCAGAGAGCGCCCCCAGGCCAGAGTCCAGGAAGTGAGCAGAGCTGTGTTTTCAGGTGGAGAGAGGGGCTGACTTTACCAGAACCCCGGCTGGAGAGGGTGAAGGTCTCTGGTTTGAATCCAGAGTTTAGTGAAGCTCTGAAAACCTCAGCTGGCCGGTTGTTGCTGCTGCTGGAGGAGAGAGTGGTGTGGAATGTGGCCGGAAGTCTGGAGGCTGCCCCTCCTGGGACCAGGGAGCCCCTCCCTTTCTGGACAAGTTTCTTGGAGACAAGGGCATGGGTTGCGTGAAGCCTCAAGGATCAGAGAATGGGCACTGGGCGGGAAGGTCCCTGGGACCCCATCCTTCTCTCTTGGGTGGAGGCAGAAAGCTCAAGGCCCCCAGCTCTTTTGTGGACAATATTCCAACCTCCTTACCCCCACACGATGGCCTGTGGCCTGAACAAGTCGTCGTCCTGGAAAAGTAGAAAGGTGGTGGGTGAGGAACAGGAGGGAGAACAGCTGCAGGCGAGGGCAAAGCAGGAGAGAAACTGGGCTGGATTTCAATCTTGATTTCTTACTGAATATGTGTCATATAACAAGGGATGTAACTTCTCTGAGCCTCAGTTTCCCTCTCTGTAAAATGGGGATAATAATCATACCAACACATAGGATCGTTCTTGTCATTACAGAGGGAGACACCTCGAGATTCTTAGCACAGAGGAAGTGCTCAGCACATAGTGGCTGTTTATGAAACAAAACAAAAGTAAAGAAAAACAAGCAGCCGGGCGTGGTGGCTCACGCCTGTAACCTCAGCACTTTGGGAGGCTGAGGGCGTGATCACAAGGTCACGAGGTCACCAGCCTGGCCAACATGGTGAAACCCCATCTTTACTAAAAACACAAAAAATTAGCTGGGCATGGTGGCACGCGTGTGTAATCCCAGCTTCTCGGGAGGCTGAGGCAGGAGAATCGCTTAAACCCAGGAGGTGGAGGTTGCAGTGAAACAAGACCACTCCACTGCACTCCAGCCTGGGTGACAGAGTAAGAGTTCATCTCAAAAAAAAAAAAAAAGAAAAAAGGAAAATGAGTAATTATTGTCACTAATAGAATCTTTTTCTGAGATAAATATGATAAACTATCCCCATTTTGCTGTTGGGAAAACTGAGAGCTGAAGGAGTCAAGTAAGTTGGTTGACAGGGGTGAAGCCAGGGGACAGCTAAGGTCAGTCAGTGCTGCTTACTGTGTTAGTGTTGCATGTGTGGTGTATGTACATAGGTGATGTGTGATGTCACGCACATTTGTGGGAGGTAGCAATGGGGCCCAGGAAGAAAGAGAAAGATCCCAAACATGCTTTTCAGCCATGAGTGGGCTGGAGAGGCTGAAATCTTCAGGCCAGAGGGAGTGATGGAGGCTATCAAATGCCCTCGTGTGAAGTGGTACCTTGGTTGATCTCCGGAAGCTGGCACTAGGCTGGAGGCTCACTTCAACCTCTTTTCTCCCTGTGGAAGGTTCTTACCAAGGTGCCCAAGAGAGGAGGCTTGGAAGGTAGATGGGGGGGTTCGATTGTAAGCATGACACTTGGCTGTTGTCCTGGGTAATGGGGAGCCTAGGCAGGGCCATGGCATCACGTTGTGTGTTAAGAACTGTACCGGATGAGAATGGGACTGAAGGTAGAAGGTGAGTGGGCTCTGTGCCACTGAGCCCCATGATTGTCCCCAGGTGCTGGGGACCTTGGCAGGCTTGGGGAGGGATTTGAGCCTCTTGGGGCCTCGTTGCCTCTGTGCAGCCAGTGCTGCTTTGGAAGAGTGAACATTTCTACCAGAGCTGAAGCCCTCAAGGCAGGGGAAGCAGGGGCTGAGGACAGTTGGGATCTTAGGCTGCAGGGGACCCTAGGCTACCATGCCATGAGAAAGGCTGCCTCCACCCAAAAGATAATCCATGTGTGTGGCGTGGCGGGCAAGGTAGAGTGACAAAAGGCACCTTGCCTCTGTGGAAGACTTCCTTTATGCACCAACTCTCCTCGCCTTTCAAGAGTCGCAGCAGGCTGGACACGGTGGCTCATACGTGTAATTCCAGCACTTTGGGAGGCCGAGGCGGGTGGATCACCTGAGGTCAGGAGTTCAAGACCAGCCTGGCTAACATAGTAAAACCCTGTCTCTACTAAAAATACAAAAAATTAGCTGAGCGTGGTGGCGCGCCTGTGAATCCCAGTACTCAGGGAGGCTGAGGCATGAGAATTGCTTGAACCCGGGAGGCAGAGATTGCAGTGAGCCGAGATTGCACCACTGCACTCCAGCCTGGGTGACAGAATGAGACTCAGTCTCAAAAAAAAAAAAAAAAAAAGTTGCAGCAATTTGATTTTTTTCACACCACAGCTTTTCAACACCCCTGATCATTGTGTGCCTGGAGGGGTGTTAGCCAGGCAGACAGCAACACTGTGCTGGGAAGATCTTGAAGACAGAGCCCCCTTGAAGGGCACTCAGCCAAGTGACCTGCCACCCAGCTAGCAGGACACAAGTGGTTGTGTCCAAGGCAGCCCCCCTATGCGTGTGCTCTGGCGGCAGACCTTGACATGGGCTTTAACGGTGCTCACCTCCGTGGGTCCCTGAGGTGCCATGTCTAAGGGTCATTGTCTTCTTCTTCTTTTTAAAATACTTCTTATTTATTTTATTTTAAGACAGATTCTCACTCTGTCGCCCAGGCTAGAGTGCAGTGGTGCGATCTTGGCTCACAGCAACCTCTGCCTCCCGGGTTCAAGTGATTCTGTGGCCTCAGCCTCCTGAGTAGCTGGGATTAAAGGCATGCACCATCGTGCCCCGCTAATTTTTGTGTTTTCAGTAGAGACAGGGTTTCACTATGTTGGCCAGGCTGGTCTTGAAGTCCTGGCATCAAGGGATCCACCCACCTCAGCCTCCAAAAGTGCTGAGCCACTGCGCCCGGCCTACACTCTCAGCAGAGTGTCTAGAACAGAGGAACGCTGAGCAGTCAGTTGCTTTAACACGTCCCTCTGTGGGGCACTCTGGGTGGTGAGTGGGAGGGCTGACGTTGACCTCCAGGTTTCCCTCGCTTTGGCCACAGCCTTTTGGCAGGTGTTTGCTGGTTACCTTCTGAGGGCAGAGCTGAGATTCAGGGATGAACCAGTCACACTGGACTTGGGACAATAAGCCATTGCCGTAGAGTGTTCAGGGGTCCTCCCCCAGCCTGGGAGGTGGGGCTAGGAAAGGCTTCGGGTGGGGGTGTCACACCCTCCAGAGGTCTTGCCTGGGAAGCCCCGGGTGCTTCCAGCCTTTCCAGGAGAACAGACCCTGTTTCTGAGTCAGAGGCCACCCCCGCTACCTCCCTGGGGGTTGATCTGGCCACAGAGTGAGGCTTCAATGGTGGGAGCTGGGCAAGATGGATTGTTCCCTCCCGCATACTGGGGAAGTGCCACCCGATAGCCGCTGCTGACCCTGGGTCACCCACGCTGCCTCTGTCCAGTGGGCCAGGGAGAAAATCATTAATGGGAGGCCGGCTTCTGGGGCAGGGCAGCTCCCCTCGGGGACCCGGGGCAAGGAGATTGGTTTGACCTCTGGTCGATAAGGTCTCCTGTGAGCAGGAGGAGAGTTGGAGGACTGGGAGGGACGCCAGAGGCCTGCCCTTGGGGGAGGGGACAGGGCCAACCACCTTCGGAAGTCATTCCAGGAAGGTCAAAGGCCATGGGTGGGGGTTCTTCCGGACAAATGCCCATCAGGTGTGGACCTCAGGGGCACTGGAGTTCCTCTGTCCCTGAGCAGCAGGATGTGGAAGGCGGCGGGCCCCAGGTATCAGATCCGGGCTGTGAGTGGTGGGGAAGTAAAGAGGAGGCACAGCTGGTGGGCCAGCAGGCCAGGCCCTGCCTCACTGGGCTGTGTGGTTTGGAGCAATGGACTTAACTTTCCTGGGCCTGAGTGTCTCCATCCGTTCAATGGGGGTGATAAGTGTTCCCATGGCGCAGGTGGTCAGGACTATCAAAAGCAATAGCATCTTTCCAAATGTGAATCTGGTTTGCAGGGCTTCGCCTAGAGTCCCATAAAGGGTTTCCTTGTGTTCTATCACAAATGACACCTACTGAGCCAGGCACTGCTCTGAGCACTTAATATATTGCTGTATATGTTTAATCTTTACAGCCACTCACGAGGAGGGTGCTGTTATCATCACGCTATTTTATAGGTGAGGAAACAGGCACTAGAGTTTAATAACTTGCATATGGTCCCTTAGCTAGAGAGTGGCACATCCTGGGTTTGGAACCCAAGGCCAGCTCCTGATGGCACTGGCGGGGCAGGCAGGGCCCTACAAGGCAGTGGCCTGCAGGGGATGGGGCACAGGAAACACAGGCTGCGGTCACAAGGCCTGAGATTAATTCTGCATTACTGCTCTGGGACCTTGTGGGCGGAGCTGACAGTTTCCTCATCCACAGTGTGGGATGATGCTACCACCCCGAGGACAATCACCAAAGTTCAACAGTGCTGTCCCGCAAACATACCTGTGGGCCCAGGCCGGGATCAGGGGATACGTGCAGGTCAGCGTGGGGACAGAGATCCTGGTGTAGCAAATGAAGGAAGCACATCCCTGCCCTTGGGAGTTCACGGCTGAGAGGTGAGACAGATGTTCAGACAGCCAGGGTCCCAAGAGCTCTACCATGGGCTGGGTGGGGCTGTGCCAGCCTGGGAATGGGGTCTCTTGTGACTAGCATTGTGATAGACTTTGTGTGCACACAGGAAACAAACCCAGAACGCTGTCTGGACTTCAGGAACGGCTCAGCCTTATGGTTAACATGGGATAGGACAGGCATACAACCAGCAGGGTGTAGGGGACCCTGTGCCAGTGCTGAATGGCACGACAGGACTCCAGGTCTTTTCAACATTTGTTCATGCATCCATTCAAGAAGTGTTTGAGTTTCTGCCATGTTAGGAGCTGCGGAATAGTGGCAAATGGGACACTGCTCCAGCTTTCTCTCTCTCTCTCTTTTTTTTTTCATGGTACTGCCAGCCTACTGGGGCCAAAAGACAAAACCCAGATAAGTGCGGGAAAGAAGCACAAAGCATGGTGGAAGGAGGGAGAGTCACAGAGCTTCAGAAAGGGGTCCAGGAAGGCCTGCATGAGGAGGTAACATTTGAGCAGAGACCTGAGTGAGCTCAAGGGCTTAGAATGTAAGGATCTGGGCAAGAGCATCAAAGCAGAAGGAAGAACAAGTGCAAAGGCCCTGGGGCAGGAGTGTGTTTGGATTTTGGAACACCCAGAGCCATGCCAAGGTGGCCAGTGGCTAGCATGGCTGGTAGGGGGTCGTGGTGGGGGAGGAAGGTGAAAAGCAGCCAGGGGCTCGCCTTGCAGGGCCCTGAGGCCTTGGAGGAGTCCTTCACCGAAGTGTGATGGGAAGTCCGGGAGAGTGTGGAGAAGGGATGGGGTTTGATGGCAGAGAGACTACCAGCGGGCGAGAGTGGAGGCAGATGCAAATTGTCCCAATGAGAGGGGAGGGAAGATGGGAGCAATGTGTGTTGATGTAACCAGAGAAGGCTTCCTGGAGGATGTGGACAGGCACAAGCTAAGCCCCGAGGGAGACAGAACTTTGGTGGCAAATGCAAAGCAAAGGCTTCTCCTAACTCAGGTTGTGGGCCGATGTTTGGTGTGGGAGTGAGCATGAGGACCCTTGTAGGGTGAGGAGGAGACCCCAGCATCAGCTTCAGGGGGCAAAGTCACAGCGGACTCTGCCACGCTGGCTCCCTGGATGAGGCTCTCCAGGCCTCCCTCCTTCCACATGGACCCACTGTTCCATCCCCTCTCATTCTTCACCCATGTCCATATGGATTTAGTACTTTTCTTCCCGTTTACTCACGTAGCCTCGCAGCTACCCTGGGATGGAATCAGGGTGGGGCCTCTGCCCCACCATTTTACTGAGAATCATTCTTGCTTTGCTGTGTGGCTGCGGTAGAAAGAGAAGCTTTGTTGTCACATCGACCTAGGCCTGATTCTTAGCTTTGCCACTTTCTGGCTGGGCCACCGTGGGCAGCTTACCTCACCTCTCAGAGCCCCGGTGCCTCGTTTTTGAATGGGAATAGTGACAGGCTGGTTATCAGTGTGTGCTGAGGCCTGGCTCAGAGCCGGCGTAGAGAAGCCCTTGGTCTTTGTGGTGGCTGTGGCTGGCTCCTGCATGCAGCGGGCCCGGGACATCCAGGGTGGCTCACTGTGTCCTTTTCCCTGCCCAGGTACTGGCTGCTGAGGACAACGTGGACTTCCGCATCCACGTGGAGAACCAGACGCGGGCTCGGGACGATGTGAGCCGTAAGCAGCTGCGGCTGTACCAGCTCTACAGCCGGACCAGTGGGAAACACATCCAGGTCCTGGGCCGCAGGATCAGTGCCCGCGGCGAGGATGGGGACAAGTATGGTATGTGCCAACCCTCTCTTCCTACCCTGTGTCCATGCTGTTCCCGGCCTCAGAGACCTCAAGTTCAAATGCCGCTCTGCTGGTCCTGGCTGATCTTGGACCTGATACTGATTCCTTCTGGGTCTCAGTTTCCCGATCTGTAAAATGGGGATGTAATGGTGAATCCTTGAGAGCACTGTCGGGAGTACTAACCGAAGATGTGAATGAAAAGTTCTTTGGCTGGTAAATGCCCCATAAGTGGCATCTGCTGTGGTATTGGTGACTTGCCTGGGATGGCCTAAAGCAGGTGGCTGTTCCCATAGGAACAGCCCTAGGTTCAGCCACTTCAAGGGGCAGGAGCCTCGGGGTGATGCTTTCTGGAAGCTGGTGGCGGTGGAAATCGGCCTAGTGCGTGTGTTCATGTGTGTATGTGTGCATATGGGCTCTTTGAGCTTCAGCCTGTGCACTGGTGATGTGTGGCACTCATAACACCTTGGGCCGTGATCCTATTGACCTGCCCTTGACCCTGGAACTGCGCATCCCTCCTGGAGTACTTGGGAACTCTCCCCGCTTTCCTGCCTGTGCTGTCTCTGCAATGCCTGGGCGGAGTGAGACGTCCCCAGCCCCTGGCCCACAAAGGCGCTCAGCAGTGAGAGAAACAGGCAGCACTCGCCTTCCCCGGCTTGGAGGGCATCTGGCCTAGACAGACGCTGAGCAAATACCACGTAGATTATTTATTTAAAATTGCCAGGCAGGAAAAGCGGAGACCGCTTCGAGACCTCCTGGTCCTTGCCCCTCACCGGGAAAGCACCTGCCTCCGCCCGTTCCCGCCTTCCCAGGCCCAGATTCTGGGAGGTGGTCCAGGCCCCAGCCTTGAGCCTGGGGAGCTGGGGCTGAGGTCCTGTGTGTGTGGGGCCAAACCTGCCAGCCTGGGCGTTTCTGGGACGATGCCCCGCCTACCCGCCAGCCCTGCCCGTTGCAGTCAGGACGTGACAACAAGACAAATAATTTCTTGGACCTTTTATCTTGGACACCATTTATTTTCCCTCAGCCCCGGGGCAGGACTGACCTCATGGTAGGGCCCAAGAGTGGCAGCTGCACTGTCACTGGGGGCCAGGCCGGGCAGGGCTGGGCCACGCTGTGCTTGTGCACCTCCGGGCCAGCTGCCTCCCTCCTTCATCTCGCCATCGCTCTTTACCGCCTCTGCTCCCCTCCCGCTCTCTTTCCCCTTCTTCCTTTCCCGGCTCTTCCCCCTTCCCGTTTTGTTTCTGTCCACCTCTCTGCCCCTCCCTCCTTCGGACCCCAGCCCAGCTTCCCTCCTCCCCACCTCTCCCAGGCCCTCTGCTGGCCGCCTCTTTGGGACCTCCCATCCCTCGTGCCCCCCTCCACAGGCGCCTGGCTGTGCTGGGCAGACCCAGGTGGTGGTTTTCCCTGGGATCTGCTGTCCAGTTGCTGCCAGAAGGGGCAGCTGGCTGGCCGGGGCGGGAGGAGGTGCCCTTCTGGGGAGTCCCTGGAGTTCTCATTGGCCCCTCCAGGCTGTGAGAGTCCAGGGGGGTCAGACTCTGGTCTGAACCATCTGTCCACGCCCTGAGACCTGAGGCAGGAGCTCCAGAGGGAGGGGAGCCCGGAAATGGCCGGCCCCTCACCCCAGAAGCCACTTGCCCTCGCATTCCCTCTGCCTGAACTGGGAACTCAGGGAATCTTTCCTGCTGTGTGACCTCAGACAAGCCTTTTGCCTTCTCCGGGCCTTCGTTGCTCCTCTGCACAACACAATGGTTGGGCTAAAGCAGGGCTTTTTTTGTGAGACAGAATCTTACTCTGTCACCCAGGCTGGAGTGCAGTGGTGTGATCTCAGCTCACTGCAACCTCTGCCTCCCAGGTTCAAGCGATTCTCCTGCCTCAGCCTCCGGAGAAGCTGGGACTACACCTACCACCATGCCCGGCTAATTTTTGTATTTTTAGTAGAGACGATGGGGTTTTGCCATGTTGGTCAGGCTGGTCTCGAATTCTTGACCTCAGGTGATCCACCCGCCTCTGCCTCCCTAAGTGCTGGTATTACAGGTGTGAGCCACCATGTCCAGCCATGCTTCTTAAGTGTAATGTGCATGTGACCATGGAGGGATCCTGTCCAAATGCCCATGCTGGTTCAGTGGGCCTTGGGGGCGGGGCCTGATCTGCTGCACATCTGACGAGTGCCTGGGCGGGGCCCGTGGACAGCACTTCCAGTACCCAGCGACTAGGTCTTCCTGGCTTCCCTGCCAGCGACACACTCTAAAGATTTTATGGTCCTCTCTCAAGGAATACGTTTCTGTACTCCTGCGACCCCCGATACCCAGGGCAGTGCAGGGCCTTGCTGGCTGCTGCTGCTCCGTTTAAATGCCACATTAGAAACGCAGATGAGGCCAAGGGACCCCATCTGTGAGCCTGGGGAGAGGAAGTGAGACAATGGAGCCAATTGAGGCTTCCAATCTAGATAATCAATACAAATATTATTGGGAGGGTGATTTATGTGGCCAGGCCAGGGCAGGAGGGTGGGGCTGCTCTGCCAATCTGCATTAGGGGCCTGTCTTGTCTCAGGGGGAGGGGCGGCCAGGGGGCCCAGGACAGTTCAGGAACCTGCTCCCGCTGAGAATGATGCAGTCTGAGTAATACACGCTTTGTCAGAATCATGTAATTTTATAACACGCAGTCTCAGAGTCTCAGCAGACACCACGGATATACCCCTGCAAACACCTGGAATCTGGAATCCCCACGGACACTCAGAACCTCAGATTTGCCTCTGTAAAGACCAGAATCCCGAGATGCTGGCTCTGTGGGTGGGTCTGAGGGTCGGGGTGCCCTGCCCAGGGGCTCTGGCCTGTTTCACAGTAGTGGGTGGTCCTTTGGTGAAATCAGCTTAGATGCCAGTGGGGCTTCCAGACCTTGGTCTTCTGCAAGAGGGTCTCCCTCTGGTCCACTAAAGCTTTTCAGTACTGGGAAAGCTTTAGGGGCTTGCAGAGCAGGCTGCTGCAGGAATAAGGGAGTTTCTTTGCCTTGCCTTGGGTTCTGGAAGGAGAGCACAGCTGGCCAGATGGCTGGAGGCTTAGGTAGTTGGATACCTGGCAGGTGGGAGGTTGTGTGGGAGGGGCACCCTGCCCACCTGGGGTAGTATCAGCCTCCCCTCTGCTTGCCCTTGGTGCTGGTCACTTCTGTCCTGCAGACAGTTGCCATGTCACAAAACAGCACAGAACAGGAAGCAGGACACTGAGTCCCAGTTGCAGCTCTGCCCCTGAGCATCCTGAAGACCTGGGCACCAGCCTCCCTGCCTGGGCTTAGTTTCCTTATCTTCCGAGTGGGGAGGAGAAGGCCCCCGTCCACCTGCCCTGGAGGTGGATGTCCCTAAGCCTGGGATGTGAAGAGAGGGAGGCACCAACTCCTCAGAAGGAGGGCCTGGCTTAGCCCACATGCAGGGAGTTGTAGAGACTCCAGCATGGGGGTTTCCAGGGCAACTCTGCTTTTAAAGTTTGTGAAACCTTATGATTGGATATTCCTGCCTGATTTTATTTGAAAAAAGATTTCTCTGTTTGAAGAAACAACAACAACAACAACAACAACAACATTTTGCAGTAGACCGGCCTCCAGGACTGACAATGCCCAGAATAACCCAGGGCAGGCCAGCAGCGGGGCTCTGCTAGCCGGGGAGGTGGTATTTGGAGGATTGAGCACATCAGCGCAGGAATCCTGTGGGATTTGAGTCTTGGCTCCACCACTTTTGAGTGGGAGATCTGAGTTAGCCTTTCTGATCCTGTTTTCCCTTCTACAAACAGGGCGATTGAAATGACAGAATCTTAGGCCTAAAGATTATATGATCATTAAACAAGTATTAATGATCACCACCTGATCTCCTTACTATGGGAGGAGTGTAGGGGGTGCCGTCATGGGCTCAGGTGAGGAACTGGCTCCAGAGGCTTCCAGAAGACCTGGGGGAAGCAGCGGTGCTCCTGTCTGCCATCAGTGGGACCCTGGCAGGTCGGATGCAGGGAGAAGAGGCATCCTCCTGTGATTCCCAGCAGCAAGGTCTCTGCCGTCTCTGCCCTGATGAGGGAGAAGGGCTTTGGCTCCCATCATTCGGTGTGATCTCCTCTCTGTCCCTCACTCATTCAGCAGAAATTACCAAGCACAAGCAGCAGGGGAGGGGGCTGCCATGGTCAGTGATACGCCTCGTCCCCGCCATCAAGGAGCCTTCAGTCTAGGGCCCCCTATTCCTTCTTCCTTATTAGAGGCTGACTTTGAGTAGGAAGTGCCTAGGCTGTGAACTTTTGACGTGACCCTGAGCCTGCCCGTTCTCTCCATGGGCCTCGGTTTCCCCACCTGTAACATGGGTAGGGGAAAGGGTGTGCAGCTGGTACTCTGCAGCTTCCTCCAGCTCAGGCATGGGGTGAGTCTGTGATTCCAGCTTCACAGGGAGTCAGCGTGCCCCAGTGCAGATACTTCCCTGAGCCCCCAGGCTGGGTGCAGAGCCCTGAGCCCCTGTGCTCGCCCTTGTCCCAGCAAGTGTCCTGCTGCAGTGGAACCATCTGTTGATGTGGCTGGTGCCCCTGTGGAGTCTGAGCTCCTTGGAGACAGTGACCTTGCTCTGTGCTATGTCTCCATGTCCAGCACAAGGCTTGGCAGAGAGCAGGGCCCCTTTTGAGATGGCCAGAAGGATGCATAAGATATGTACAGGGCAACTCAAAGTTGTAACCAGGAGCTGCTCTCAGTGGCTCACACAGGCAGGAAGGTAAGGACTTCTGGGCTTTTGCTGATTTGGTGATGGAGCTGGGAAGGGGTCCTCTCCTCTCCATTCCCTCATTCCGGTAGTTGGCAGAATGAGGCAGCAGAGTGGCCAGCAGCTCTGTCAGCACTGGGATCTTTGTGGCTGGCCAGCTACTGCCCAGCCCCCGCAAGGCCCAAGGCCTTTGGGCTGGTTGGGTGGCTGATGTAGCAGGGACCCCTAATGTCAGAGCTGAGCCCCCATGGTCCATTTTCCACACGCATCCCAA